ACCCCTTGGCGACCAAGCGGCTCTTGAACCGCTCCAACGCACCATCAGCTCCACTCTTCACCTTGAAGACCCACTTGCTGCTGATTGGCCGTCACCCCTCGGGTAACTCAACAAGCTCCCAAGTCCCATTCTCAATGAGACTGTTGAACTCCGCATCCATGGCAGCCTTCCACTCCTCCTTCTGGGGTCGACTCAGTGCCTCCTCCACTGTGGCTGGTTCTCCAGGCAAGGGTGTGAAGAAACAGAACGCCATCTCCTCATCCTCTCCCTCATCCGCCTGAACCGCCATGGCACCTTGCTTGGGTCCTCCCAAACGGCTATACTTCAGCCTTGAGGGTGCTGCCACTCTCTTCTCGCGGGTTGCAATCTGCTGCCCATGTGGTGAAGCTCCTCTCTGCAGACTCCTCTTGGTGACCTTGGCATTTGCAGCAGGCTCGGGCTGAGTTGGTGAGTCCACACGTGCCGAATCGTCCTCCAACCCCTCCTCCGCAGCAGGACCAGCACCTTGCTGCTCACCACCGCCACTGTGGTCACTGGTCAGCTCTGACCCAGGGAGATCCTCAAGGTGCAGCTGAACCTCCTCCACTGCAGACCGCTCAATCTCCTGCAGACGCAAGCCAATCTGCACCTACTGCTGCTGCTGCCAGTCCTTGTACATGACGTCCTCCACAAATTTGACGTCACGGCTGACCAGCGTCTTCTTGCTCTTGGGGTCCCACATCAGCCACCCCTTCGAGTCAGGAGCCATCACAAGATGGGCAGCCCACACAGCAGCAACTTTGAGCTTGTGCCTCTGCTCCTTAGGCACCATCACAAGCCCCATGCAGCCCCACACCCGCAGCATGTCAATGGATGGCTTCTTCCCAAGCCAACGCTCGTACGGCACCCAGTGCTTGTCGCCAACATGTGTCAAGACCCTGTTCTTGACCGTGATGACATGGCGAACGGCATCAGGCCAGAACTTGTAGGGCATCCCAGCAGCCCCCAACAAGGTCTTAGCCGCCTCGCCAATGGTCCGGTTGGCACGCTCAGCAATGCCGTTCTGCTGCGGTGTTCCAGGGCAGGTCAGCTGATGTCGGATGCCATTTCTCTTGAGGAACTTGGTGAATTCCGCTCCAAGGAACTCTCCACCTCGGTCGCTCCTCAGCACCTTCACCAGCCGCATCGCTTGCCGCTCCACCATCGGCAACCAATCCTCCTTGATTGCCGCTGCAGCATCGCTCTTCTTGGACAAGAGACATGCCCACGTGAAACGGCTCCATTCGTCCACCATGGTGAGGAAGTACAGCACTCCCCCAGTCCCCTCAGTCCTCATAGGACCCACCAGGTCCATGTGCACCACCTCCAGTGGCGCCTTCGCTGATCCCTCCGCACGTGGAAACGGGAACCGCGCAAACTTGTTTTGCATGCACGCCTCGCAGCTGCCATAGTGAGCGCCATCTCCTTGCAGTTGCAGCCCATGCACGCACTTCTCCTTGTGCATCACCTCCAATGTGGAAACAGCCACGTGTGCGAGCCGCCGATGCCAAGTCTCCCAATCCGCTTGGCCCGAGGTACCCGACGCCTTCACTGCCGCGCTTCCTCCAATCAGCTCCTCTCCTTGCACACCTTGCTGCTCCTCCTCGGTAACGCTCTCCTCCATAGATGCCGCCGCTGCCGCCTTGCCCGATTTCCGCCAAGGGAGGACCGGGATCTGCCACATGCGCTTGTGGACATCTCCCTTCCACGCAGGTCCCAAATGAGGCGCTCATCGTTGTAGGCACGATAGCGCTCCGAGCCAATCGTCTCGGTGTTCACACCCGCATCTCCCAACCGGCCGGTAGAAATCAGGTTCGCGCACAAGTCTGGCACCCACAGCACATTCTTCAGCCCCACGAGCTCTCCATCCGCTCCCATGAACTTGGCGCACCCCATGCCCATGACCTTGGCCTTGGCGCCCGTCGCGGATGTGACTGTAGAGATGGGTGCGGGCTGAATCTCATCGAGTAGGTCCGCGCGAGGAGTCATGTGCCAGGAGCTTCCCGAGTCAATCACCCAATGGGTGAGGGGGTGTAGGAGAACCTTGGCAGCCATAGCGAGGTCGGTTGCGCCTTCGTTCACGAAGAAGAAGAACCCGGCCTTCCGCTCCTCAGGTTTGCCGCCTTTCTCCTCATCTTTCTCCTCTCCACTAGCTCCCATGACTCCCCCACTCCTCGTGCCACCACGCTGGTTGCTTGATGAAGGCGGGGTCCAATCCTTGGGTCGTTGGTAGCACTTCCGCCAACGATGTCCGCGCTTCTTGCAGTAGAAGCACACCTCCCCTTGACCCCCGCCGCCATCCTCCTTAGGGTTGTCCTTGTTCTTGCCCTTCCTCTTCTTCTTGAAGCCACTCTTTCCACCTCCAACTCCATAGCCAGCCCCCTCCTCCGAGCGCTCCACACTCCGCCGGCGCAAGTCCTCCTCTAGGATGCGCGCGCGAATGTAATCCACGCTCCATTGGGGTTGTTGGGAGTTGAGGTTGATGGCAAGGGCAGACCATGACTCCGGCAGCCGTATCACGATCTCCACGCATTGCACGAGCTCCGGGTACACCACACCGCCGCCTTGGAGCTTCGTGAAGATGTCCCGCATCTCATCCAACACCGGTTGCATCGGCTCTCCATCAACGAACTTGATGTCTCGCAGCCGCCGCGCGAGTAGCACGATGCCGGTAGCATGTGTCGGTGAGTGCACATCCAGAAGCTTCCTCCAAGCCTTGGGGCCACACTCTGGATCACCCAAGAGGTCCTTGATGTGGTCAAGTTGTCGTCCGCCAACCGCTTGCACCATGAGCATGTACGCGTCAAACGATCGCTTCATCCACGCTCCTTTCAGCTCCGCGGCCTCCGGCATCTTCTCCTTCCCCTCCACCAGATCCAATAGCTTGTATTGGGTGTACATCAGCCTCATGCGGAAGCTCCAGTGCTCGTAGTCCTCCCCCATGAACTTCTCAATAGAAAACGCCTTCACGGGATCCACGGTTGTTGGAGATGGTGTAGTAGATGTAGGTAGCGTAGGGTTGGCTGATTGGTGAGTCCCCACTCCACCACCAGCAACTCCCCTTTGCTCTCCAGCCTCTCTAATTCTATCCATCTCGCCACTAGCACCTCCGGAGTTCGTACCAACCATATTGAGGCCTTATGAACGGTGGAAACTTGAGAAATCGTTTGGAGAGAATTCTGCCAGAAATTTCGATTCTACGAAAATCGTCGTCGCGGACTAGATACTTCGAATTAGAACGCGATTCGACCACCAATCGAACGTTCACGAGCAGAGCTACTCGACATTGGTCTCACTCGTCAGCATTGGTTGAGAAAGCACGACGATTCGTCGTCTCAAAGTCGACAACCCGCTCTGATACCACTTGTTAAGGATCCGTCACTTTGAGAGCTTACGACGAACTCATTACTCAACTAAACGCAAATCCGCTCGGTAGGATTGTGCGCCTTAGGCGTAGCTACCATCTCCAAGTTGAATCAGTCGTTAAGATGGTCTAGAGAGTGAGAACCGATTGAAAACGTCCAGCAGCTGCATGACTAGAATGGTGGAGGAAGTACAAACATTTGGGCATAGGAAGTTGGAGTTGGGGACTCCAAGAGAACCATGAGAGGGAAGGGGTTCTCCAAGAGCTAGGGAAGGATGGTAGGAACCTTCCTAGCAGCAAGGATGCAACCCTCATCATGAGGTCCTTGAGGTGTCACATGCAAAATCCAATCTAGTTGGATTTTGCCTTGGTGTTGCAACATTTGCAACCCATGCTAGAAACTTCTAGCCACCCCAATCCAAAAGTCAAAGTTGCCTTCCCTAACCACCCAACCAAAGATCCCTTTATAGTCATGTCCCAAATAATCACCCAAATTAGATATAACCCCAAAAGATAATAAGAAATCCAAGTCTTGGAAATCTTGTAACTTGGGCGATCTTGGTCGGAATAAGGCGATCTTGGTATCGTTGGAAAGCTCTGGATTTCTCCTGCATGATCAAGCATTTAGACTTGGAGAAAAACACAGAGATGGTAATATCCAACAGCCATGCACAATGGCATATGCAAATGCAATCAATGCACGCATGAATAGCACGAGCACTCGGCAGGACGTTAGGATGACATGCACTCAGAATGACGTGCATCCAACACATGCCTCACCTGGTTGGCGGTATACAGGCCTCACCTGGTTGGTGGTATACACGCCTCACCTGGTTGGTGGTATACATGCCTCACCTGGTTGCTTGTATACATGCCTCACCTGGTTGGTGGTATACATGCCTCACCTGGTTGGCGGTATACATGCCTCACCTGGTTGGCGGTATACATGCCTCACCTGGTTGCTGGTATACATGCCTCACCTGGTTGGCGGTATACATGCCTCACCTGGTTGGTGGTATACATGCCTCACCTGGTTGGCGGTATACATGCCTCACCTGGTTGGTGGTATACATGCCTCACCTGGTTGGTGGTATACATGCCTCACTTGGTTGGTGGTATACATGCCTCACCTGGTTGGTGCTGTACATGCTGGTGCAGCACTTGTTGGCAGATGCCGACACGTTGACTATCAAGCCACGAGGTATGGGCTTGTCACATGCCATGCCCTGTCAAGGCATCCATAAAAGAGGACAGCGCAATATTACACCGACTGACTTATCTGGTGATCATTAAAGCAGCAATACTGTCGCTGCCAGCACATGCGATGTCAGCAAACCCAGCGAGCAATGTCGAGTTCATAAAACTCAGCTAGATTGACTAAATAGTTTTCAATATTTTTTTAGATCAAACGACTAAACATCAACTCAACTCGGTCAAGTTTTATTGGGAAAATACCAAACACGTAACTCAAGTTTCTGAAGTCGGGTAGAAACTCGAGTTGGGTGAAAACTCGACTCGCATGCCCAGGTGTAAGTGCGGTGCGGGGGGTGTATGAACGCACCTGACCTCATCAGCGCGCCTCACCTGGTTGCTCTCCAGCAGCTCTTGAGGTGAGAGGTCAAAGATGTCGAGCAGCAGAGGGCATGTGAGGCCGGGGGGTGCTGGGAAGAATGGCACTCGAGTAGCGGCCTTGCTCACTGGTGGATAGAGGGCAGGTGGAAAGGGGGGAACGGGGGAGGAGGGGAAAAGGGGGAACGGGGGAGGAGGGGAAAAGGGGGAACGGGGGAGGAGGGGAAAAGGGGGAACGAGGGAGGAGGGGAAAAGGGGGAACGGGGGAGGAGGGGAAAAGGGGGAAAGCCAGAGGGACAGAGGGCAGAGGGGGATTATGGGGGAAGAAAGAGGAAAGAGGGGGACATTGGACAGAGGGGAAGATGGTAGAAAAGGGGATGCGGGGTGGGGGGACACGGGGGGCCGGGGGGTGCCAGCAGACCGGGTCGATTGAAATCACATAGAGTGGGCGGCGGCAGCAAGAAGGATGGTACGTGACGGGGATGGGCTTCCTGGCATAGTGGTGGTGAGGTGAGCAGTGGAACGTAAAGGAGAGATTAGGTGTGGTGGGAGTAGGGAGAGGAAGAGCAGCGCTCAATTGACGCGCCTAGAAACAGTTGGCCTTACAAATTTGTGCGGAAGTGTTTTAAGGAACAAGCCTCTTAGCTGACGTGAGTGTTTAGCTCAAGGTGAAGACAAGAGGTTGGGATCGGTGGAATTTTGGCAGGCCTAGCTGTAGGCTAGATTACAAGGTGGAGTACAAAAAAAAAAAGTATCAGGGTTAACAAGATGGGCGACTAGTACCATGGTACGCCAGCTTACCTGGCTTAACTAGCTTAGAGAGTCTTACCTTGGTTACAAGGTCGCTTCAGGGGGTTAGAGAAGTCGAGGAAACTGAATCAATGCACAGGAGTGCACTCAATGCACAGGAGTGCGCTCCTGACCAGCACTCACAACATTGTGGGTGAGTCAGCTTACATTAACGTGGGCCATGTGTTGGTGCAAGCAAACATAAAAACACATGTCATGTCAGCAGCACACATGCGCAAGTGCTGTTAGTGTGGGCAAAAGACAAAAAACGATGAGAACCTGCCTCAACTCAGGTGTGATGGAGTCAACTCAGAAATTACATAGATTGAAGCAAGGTTAACGTACAATTCTATCAAGTTCAAGTCAGGGTTAAAAACCGGGTGTGCAGAAAGAAGGTAAGCTGATCGCCAACCCTGAGAGGTCAAATGATCGCTTCGAGTAGTTGAAGTGATTCAGCTGAGTTACAGGGTAACCTTGGGGAGAGGTCAGTCTACCTTGGTTACAGGGGAGAGGTCAGTCTACCTTGGTTACAGGGTTGCTTGAGGGGGTTAGAGTAGTCGAGGGGGAAGAAGGCGGGCGGGCAGAGGCAGAAGGAGGAGGCATCATAGCCCTCAAGGCACACGCCGGGTGCACACGTGTCAGTGTTGTTAAGGCGACATGCGGGGAACTCTGGACGGACATTGAAAAGGTGGAGAGGAATTTAGAGAGGTTAGAGGCGATGAGATGGTAAGTGGGAGGAAAATACAGAGTACTACAGTGAATGGGGTGGGAGAGGCGATGAAATGGTAAGTGGGGAGTGAAACGGTTAGAAGTGCAGCCACCTAGCTGGTGAAAGCAGAAGGAAGTATCAATGTGCTGGTTGATTGATTGTGCTGAGTTATGAACGTTAAAAAGTTTGGATGTGGCAAAATTTGAAGGGGTTGCAGCTGCAATGGCTGAAATGAGACGGCACGAGCTCGTGTCGATGAGACGTAATTTCAGTCAGGAATTACCCTTGTCAATACCCCTGTGCACTCTGTGGTGATGGCTGCGTTGCCTTACCATTATAGCCAGCCAAGCTTACCGTTGAAGCACGTTTGGAAGGCGGGCATTTGGGGGAGCTTGTAGCTGGGCTGGCTGAGAGGGCACGAGCACGTGCTGCTGTATGTGCCTGTGGCTGCTGACCGCACCGCACTGCACCTGCCAGCACCGCATGGGTTCACGTCCCATGCCGTGCACGGGCTGACGTCTGTGTGGCATGGGGAGTGAGGAGAGGAGAGACAAGGAGAGACAAGGAGAGACAAGGAGAGACAAGGAGAGACAAGGAGAGACAAGGAGAGACAAGGAGAGACAAGGAGAGCATATGGGAGCATATGATCAATGGTACGATCAGTCACTGATAATGAATTATAATTGCGAGCATATGATCTATGTTGGAAAAAATGCTCAGGGCAAGAAAAGAATCACGTATGTTAGTGTGTATCCGGAAATTCGTGATATGCGGTACGCTCGGTTAGGCAGCCCGTCAAAAATAAAATGGTGTGTACAAATTGCACAAACCCAAATGTCGACTGCAACTGTATTTCTCCTTAGTACCATACTGTTCTTTTCCAACATAGCATATTCTCACGAATGTGGCACATGGATGGTGGGACCAAAGCAAGTGTGCATGTGCACACAGACAAAGATGAACAGATGCACAGATGAACAAATGCACAGATGCATGCATCTACAGGCGCAGATGCATTCAGGCACTCACTCCTGAGAAATTACAAGATACATGCTTCAGTGGCCCGTACACAACACATACACTAACAGATGCACAAAATCACACACAGACGCGTGGCACTCACCGAACCGTTCATACGCACCTGTGAAACGGAACGTCCACGCTTTGATGGACTGGACAGATGCCTGCGTGCTGGCACTGCTGAACCCAGCAAACACCGTAATCACTCCCTCAGTGCTGCTGTTGCCATCGTAGAACACAGAGCACAGGTCAAGCGTCAGCTTCACACTCCCCATCCTCGTTGCCCCTTTATAAGTCACTGCCTCTAGAGTCTTAGTGGCAGCCGTATAGTCCACCCTCATGCTGTATAACGAGGATGAAGTGTATTTCTTTTGAGACGAAAAAGCCAGCCGCCGTGTCACGTTAAAGTCAGTGTGAATGGAGAGAATCGCCACATCCTTGTAAATGGCATAGTTAGGGTCAATGCCGCTAAAGGCATCAAACATCACCGCCACACTCCTCCCTCCATCCGCCCACGTCCCATTCGCATCCCTCTCGTCCGCGTCCCGGCCGTATCCCATGCCCGTCCCTCCTTGACCCACCCCCGGCCGAGTACTTAGCACAAAAACCACCCCAAACCCATTGGTCTCTTTTCCCCTGAGATCAAACGCAAACCACGAGGTGAAGGACCGAGCCTTGCACACCAGTGCATCCGTCTTTCCGCCCTTGTTCCTCCCCTTGCGGGGGGGAGGAGGGGGGAGGAGCGAGAGCAGGGGCAGGGGGAGGGGGAAGAAGGCGGAGCCTGACTCCTCCTCCTGGTTGCCCGGGGTGAGCTGCAGCGAGGAGATGCCGAGGCGAGCTGCACCCGAGGCAGTGAAGGGCGCAGCTGGCGTGAGGAAGGGCAAGGCGAGCCACGGCTGCTGCCACACGGGGAGAGGCGCCGGCGCTGGAATGGTTGAAGGGTTTGGGAGGTAAGTAGTAGGGAGATGAGGGAAAGTGAGCCGGGCAGCACAGAGAGGTGGGAGGGGAGGGGAGAGAGGAGTGGGAAGAGGAGAGCCAGGAGGGGAGAGGAGAGATGACGGCACCAACACATCCAACACTGAGGGGCTAAAGAGGAGAGGAGTAGAGGGAGTGGGAAGGATGAACGGTTGGAAAATACATGACACGCCACACAAACCTTTCATTTGGCCCTTGAATCTCTCTTGGCTCTACACACCTTGCCCAGCCCGCTCTGCTCAGCCTGCCATTCAAGCCTGCTCTGCTCGGCCTTGACTCTTGGCTACCGCACACCTTGCCATGACTCCTGCCACTCTCCCGCTCACCTTCCAGGAGAGGATGTCGTGCGTCTGAGTGTGCAGCGGCAGCAACCCCGTGCCGGCTGCAAACCCCGCATGCACCAAAACGGCCTCCCCCTCCCCTCCGTCCTCCTTCGGAGCAATGTGAAAAAGGTCACAGGTATTGAAGGGGAGGGAGAGGAGGGCGGAGGGGGGCATGGCGGGCGAGGAGGAGAGGCGCACGGAGAGCAGCGAGGCGGTGGCGTTGTAGGCCACCCACGCATGCAGCGTCTCGTTCTCCTTCTTGTTGCCGCCCAGCGAGGCCATGCCCGCGGGGTGCACGGACGCATGGCCTGCTGACGTCATGCTGTAATCCACGTTGATCCCCACGTGGTGCACCGTTGGGTCCGAAAACAGACGGGTTGATGACGTGTCAAACTCCACTGCCAGGCTGTGCTGATGTGGCAGGCTGCTGTTGAGGGTGACGCCACTGCCGCTGCTGCCGCCAATCGTGGTGCATGTAACGGCCCCGTTCTCCACCTCACACAATTGTTCTTCCCCCCCTTCCAACTCCACAAACATCTCCTCCTGCCGGTAAGGCCTCCTGCCGTATCCCATGTTTGGCCCGGGCAGCCCGAGGGTTGGGTCGGGCAGGAGAACGAAAGCAAAGCCGTCGGCCCCGAGAGCAACAGCGGGTTGGGGGGAGGAGAGGCGGAAGGAGAAGGAGGAGGAGAAGGAGTAGGGGCGGCAGGGGGAAGTGGGGGAGGCGGGGGAGACGAGGGGGAAGGGCGTGGGGCGTGGGGAAGGGGACAAGGCCCGCTTGGTGGGGGGGAGAGAGGGGGGTGAGGCGCAGCGAGGAGGGGAGGAGGCGGGCCGAGCCGGAGGTGAGGAGGGGAGACGAGGAGGTTAATGGGGAGTAGGAGAAGGACGGAGGGGCGTAGGCCGCTGGAATTTGAGGGGAGGCGGGAAAAAAAAGAAGGGGGGGCAAAGGAAAGAGAAAGGTGAGAATCGGAGCCAATGTGTTTGGGCATGAGCAAAGCAGGGAAAGAGGTGGAGAAAGAAAGTGGGAAAAGAAGTGAGCTCCAAGAATACAGAGTCCGTTGTAAGTGTGACCAACGGCTTGTGGGTCGACTCACTCACTCTGTGCTCCGAGAACGCTCAAGACTATCATGCCAGTCCAACCGTCCTGTTGTGAGTGGAGCCAACACCAGTGCCTCTGGGCGCACCAGTGCCTCTGGGCGCACCAGTGCCTCTGTGCGCACCTGTGCCTCTGAGCGCACCTGTGCCTCTGAGCACACCTGTGCCTCTGAGCGCACCTGTGCCTCTGAGCGCACCTGTGCCTCTGGGAGCCACCGTGATTAGATCCACATCAATGCTCCCCGGTGCCGCTGCCGCCGACGTCAGTGACCTGCCTTCCACCGCTGCTGTTGATGCTACAGTCGCACCCCCAGGCACGGACGCACCCCCAGGCACGGACGCACCCCCAGGCATGGACGCACCCCCAGGGACGGACGCACCCCCAGGCACGGAAGCACCCCCAGGCACGGTCGGAGGTAAGGGAACGGGCACGTCAATGGGAACAGGCTGTTCCCCAGAGCCATCAGACGACGTGCTGCCGCTGCCGCTGTCCGCCTCCTTTCCCTCCAGCAGCACGACGTGCAGAGCAACGCCTTGCGGCGGGAAGGATAGAGCAGCGGCGGAGGCGGAGGCGGAGGAGGGTGGGAGGTGGAAGGAGAAAGGCCCGTGTTGGCGCCAAGGCAGCAGGCCAGAGAGAGAGAAGGAGTTGTTGCGGCAGGGAACGCCGATGCTCCATTGATGCCCTGGCTAGCTCGCCCTCGTCCACAGTGCTGCTGCTACTGCTGCTGCTGCCGCTGCCGCCGCCGTTGCTGCTGGCGACATTGGCTTGTGGTGGCGATGGCAGGGGCACGGCGACGATCATGGCTCGCATCGGCCGCACTCCAGCGGCAAGAGACGTATCCATCATGCACTCGCGCACCCTTGCATAGAAATACAGCAAAAACTCTTGCTCCTGCTGCTGCTGCTGCTCTCCCCCTTCCGCGACACACAGCAGCTGCCCCAGGCCCTGCACCGGCCACACTGCCCCTTCACTCTCGCTCGCCCCGCTGCCCCAAAGCTCGCCACCGGTGCCACCACTGCCGTCGCTGGGCTGCAGGCGAACGAACCGACCGCCCTCAGCAGCAACGGACGGGTCCCGGGGGGAACCTCCCCTCCCCCTCCCCCCTCCCCCGCCCCCTGTACCCCCTCCGCCATCTGCCCTTGCTGCTGTGCTGCGAGCGGCACCCAGGACGACAGGGGCGAGGGCCAGTCTGCTGCATCGGAAACTTCCTCGAAGCCCGCATTGCGCAGGAGGTTCAAAGAGGGAGCTGGGGGGTGGGGGGTGAGGGGGTGGGAGAGACGAGGAGGGATGGTGGGGCGGTGGGGAGAGAGGCGTGGGGGGGAGAGGAGGGAGTGTGGAGGAGATGATTGAGGAGATTTCAGTAGGGGGAGCGGGAAATGTGACGACGCATGTGCATCTCCTGCGGAGGGAAAATAAAAAAACGAAAAGGGGAGCGGAGGTGGCAAATATATATGGCAGGGGAAGTGGGGACAGGCAATTAAGGCCGGGGGAAAGGGATGGGAAGGCGTGGGTCAGCGCACAGCGGCAGTTGCTAGTGCAGCGAAGGAGGCGCGACGCTCGCAAATGGCGGCGGCAAGGCCGCCGTTCGCTGCTGCTGGCGGAACCGGGTTTTGTTTGGGGATGTTGAATCTGTATTTTGAGAATACTCAATAAACTGGTTGGGGATGTTCTCGCCGTTGATGGCACCACGTGATTTCGAGGAGAGCCCTGTGAGGCCGCAATAATCGGTACTACCTACCTTGAGCTGCGAGGCTGGCGCATGTCGGCACGCTAGCGTTGGCGACAGTGATGAGCGAGAGGAAGTGCGCGGTTACCACAAGCATGAGAAGAGTGACGATGAGGCGGTCCCTGATGCCTACAGAAGCTTGCCATTTGGAGTGTAACACGGGCTTATAGAGAACGCCCTTAAAATCACCAATGAGGACCCGGGCTTATAACAAATGCCCACAAAAGGGTCTATAATAGGCTTATAAAACGCCAACAAATAAAACACACACAAGGTAAACTAGCTCCTATGATAGCTTGGAGTCTTGAAGACTTAGTAGTTGAAGCTTGGAGAGTGATAGAGTAGCTTCACCAAAGGGGTAGTTGGAGCTTAGAGCACTTGTGAGGGAAAAGTTTTGTACTTAGAGAGAAATCCCATTTCCATTTTGGTTAATTGGAAGTTGGGAGTTGAGAATGAGCATGGTTAGCTCAAACCCCTCCTAGACCTCCTTGGGGAGCTCCACTTCCTCCATGGCAACAAGGGCAAGGAGCTCCTAGGGGTGAGTTTGCTTATGTAGCACAATGGTTGGATTTGCAACCAATGAGAGCAATAGAATTGTGATAAGGATGCTTTTGTTACATGCTGTAATTTGTAACAACAATGTTCAATTGTCATTGGTTGGAATTCCAACCAATGTGGGGGTTGGGTTGGATCCCAACCATGCTTGTATTTTAGTGGGTGGTTGTCCACAATTGTGGACCATTCACCCCCTCCATCCCTTTCTTCCCGTAGGTCGCTACCTTACGTAGGTAGCGCCTTAGAGAGGCATCGTTAGATTAGGTGCTAGGGTAGGTAGGCGGTGCGTTACACTCCTCCCCCTCCAATTGGCAACGTCCCCGTTGCCTTGGAGCGCTTCTTAGGGCGAGTGCTGCGAGCACGACGCACCACATTACGGCCAGGGTCAACACCATCCACTGGCTGTGGGGCTGCTCGTAGAGCCAGGTCTTCCATATAAGCTTGAACTGCTGTCTCAGTCAAGTGTTCTTCTGGCTCCCAAGAATTGTGTTCAGGTCCATAGCCTTTCCACTTAATGAGGAACTCACGTTTTGTTTTGCGGCCGCGTTGTCGATCACGGTGCATCAGCACACGCTCGACTTCATAATATAGTTCCTCACCCAGGACGATGGTTGGTGGTGGTAAGTATGTGCCGTCGGCTACATACTTGTTTAACAGAGACACGTGGAAGACATTGTGAATCTGCAAAGTGTCTGGTAGCTTAAGCTTATAAGCCACCGCCCCAACCCGCTTGATGACCTCGAATGGCCCAATCCAACGAGGAAACAGCTTTCGCGCCCCAGGTAATTTGAGTCGAATGTTTTTCGTACTCAACAAAACTTTGTCTCCCTCTTGAAAAGAGACGTCCCGGCGTTTCATGTCGGCATAAGACTTTTGGCGTTGTTGGGCAAGTTGCAACCAACGACGAGCAGACTTAAGCGCTTCTTGCTGCTTGCCAATAAAGTCCTTAGCGGCTGGAATTTTCAAGCCACTGACCCCATGCGTAGCAGGTGTTGTGGGGTGCCGACCACAATTTAAGATGAAGGGTTTTTTCGTGGGTGCTTTCATGCACTGAGTTGTTAACAGCAAATTCCACGACTGGCAACAGCTCATCCCAATCATCCAGTGTTGGGCCAATAAATGAACGAAGCATTTGTTCAAGAGTGCGATTTGTGCGTTCGGTCTGCCCATCTGTTTGAGGGTGGAATGCAGATGACATTTTCAGCTTCGTCCCTAGTGTCCGAATGACCTCATGCCAAAAACGGCTTGTAAAAGGAGGGTCTCAATCAGACACTAGCACACGAGGCAAACCATGTAAACGGAAAACATGTGCAATAAACAACTTAGCCGTATCTTCTGCTGATACGTCCGTGGTTGTAGGCACGAAGTGCACCATCTTGGTCAAACGATCCACGAAGACGAGGATCGCTGTATGACCATCTCGTGTTTTAGGGAGATCAGTGATGAAATCCATTGATACACTCTCCCAAGGTTCGTCAGGGATTTCGAGTGGTTGAAGCAACCCACCGGGTATTTGTGTACTCGGTTTGTTACGTGCACACGTGTCGCAGCGTGTAACAAACTGCTGGACTTCATTGCCCAACCCTGGCCACCAGTATACGTCAGACAATGCCCATCGAGTTTTCTTAACTCCGAGGTGTCCACTGTATTTACTGGCATGCACTTCTTGTAAGATGTCATTCCGTAGGTTCCCAACATGTGGTACTACAATTTCTTTTCCATGCCACCAGAGCTCATGCTCCCATGAGAGATCCTTTGTATTCTGTGGGTTCTGAAACCAGGAATCAATCTGATAGCCTGTGCGGATTCGTTTCAGAAAACCACTGAAGGTAATCTCACTGACTCGAGCAACAGCGAGGATACCAAAGTAAGCTGCAAAGACGGCAGCATGTTCGGTGTCCTTAAGCCCGTTGGCTGCCCCTATCGGTTGTCTGCTGAGGGGGTCAGCCATGTTCGTCGAACCCGCCCGATATCGAATATCGTATGTGAACCCGCTAAGGAGCTCAGCCCATCGGGCTTGACGACGAGTGAGGGTGGCTTGGCTGGAAAAGTAGGTGTTTGGACAATGGTCAGTCGTGACAACAAAGTCCACACCTTCCAAGTAACATCGCCATGTTCGTAGCGCATGGACGACTGCCAACAGTTCTTGTTCAGAAGTCGTATAGCGCTGCTCTGCCGGGGAGAGCTTTCTACTCTCGTATGCCACAGAGCGTCCTTCTTGTAGGAGGACTGCACCAATCCCTACCATTGAGGCGTCTGTGACTACCTCGTAGGGTTTTGTTGGATCTGGTAATACCAGAACGGGAGCATTGGTCAACTTTTGTTTGACCGCTTCAAATGCCTCTTGGCATTGTCTGGTCCATTCCCACAACGTACCCTTTCGAGTAAGTGCGGTTAATGGGGCAACGATGGTTGGATAATTCTCCAAGAAACGGCGAAAATAATTGGCTAAGCCCAAAAAGGACCTGACTTGACCCACGTCCTGTGGAACGGGTCAGTTCTCAACAGCCGCCACTTTCTTGGGATCGACTTTCAACCCACTGTTTCCCACAAGATGTCACAGGTATTCTAATTCGCGCTTATAGAAGTGACACTTCCACAAGCGAGCATAGAATTTGTGCTCTCGTAGTTTGTTTAACACCCATTTTAGGTGTTCTGTGTGCTCCTGTTCGGTCTTGGAATAGACCAGTATATCGTCGAGGTAAACCAAGACGAACTGACCGATTGCCTCACGAAAGACATCATTCATCGCCCTCTGAAAAGAGGCCGGTGCATTGGTCAGACCGAAACTCAGCACACGCCATTGAAAATGCCCAAACGGCGTGCGAAACGCTGTTTTGGGTACATCGTCGTTGGTGATGCGCAACTGATGGTACCCCTGTGCGAGGTCCAATGCGCTAAACCATTGGGCACCCTGGAGACGATCAAACAGATCCTCAATGCGAGGCAGCGGATATCTGTTCTTAATCGTGATCTTGTTTAAGGCGCGATAGTCAACGCACATGCGTAGCCCTACGCCCTTCATGTTAACAAACAAGATTGGTGCTCCGTATGGTGATGCACTGGGTTCAATCCATCCCTTTTTCAGATAATATTCGATTTGTTGCTTAGCCTCTTCGTAATCAGCTGGACTGAGGCGATACAGAGGTCGAAACGGTGGTGCCTTTCCAGGCTCCACAGGAATGGTATGACCCACAACGCGGTCTGGAGGGAGTCCATCAGGAATTGGTTCGAAAACCTCCTTGAAGTCCTCTGCCAAAGCCTTCATCTGAGGAGGAAATTCCTCGATCTCAGGAGACGATTGTGTGGTTTCCTCTAGCTGTACAACAAAAAGTGTATCAGCTGATTTTGCATCTTGCCCAAATTGATTTGCTAGGGCAAACTGGACGTCGGGGCGATTGGAGTGTGGGACATCAGTGATGTTTACGTCCCCTTGAACATGCCACCGAACCACAACACCATTTTTAGTGAAAGTTACTGTGTTGTGTTGAAAGTCAAGGATGACCTCATTGGCTCGAAGCCAGTCCATCCCGAGGACTAGGTCTACGCCTACCAGTAATGGGAGGACATAAACATTGATGTCCTCGTTATAGCCTTGAATTTCCATATTGATACGTGTCTGCCCTTTTCTTGGGATGATTCGATCGTCGCCAAGACGAATGGGACAAGACGGTCCGTCAACGAGGACCCCACGACTTGTGGCTCTGTTTTCATCGAAAAGAGAAACAGTCGCACCCGTATCAACAAGAATCTTTGCTTCGTCCCCGTCTATGCGACCCACCAGCAACAAGTTCTGCTGATGTTTTGGTCGAATGGGGCATGCAACAATGCGAGTTGGTGGGAGGTAGTATGCCTTGACATTGTGCTTTGCTCGACCATAGGATCGGCTGTCAGGCCACCACATGTGATATCCCTTATCCCACGCTGCAAGTACCGTCCATCCCTTAAGCATGGGAAAGTGTTTGCCTTTGATTGTTCGAGTCACCAGAATGACCGAAGTCAATGGGTGCTTCTGGGTGCAACGACCCACCAATTCCATTACGGAAGGCAACGCCTCAATGTTGCAGCAAATGACAGAGAATTCATCTCTGAGTGTTTCGATAGACAGTTGTGTAAGTGGGTACAATCGAGGTAGGAAAACAGAATTTTCACTCAAAGAAGAAGCAAACAAACAAGAGATTTTGCACTCAGCAAGTTTCTCTAGCTTTAATAGATCATCGTCACGAAGGACGTAAGCTTCCTCACCTCGATCTACCTGTCCAGCTAGGTACCCACACCCTAGTTGGACTTGTGAAAATCCTGGCGCGAGCCTGAAGGTCCTGCATCTCCCTTCTTGTTCGCCTGCTGCGGCTTGCCAGAATCCTCATCCCTTTTCAGCTACGGCACTGCCCCCTCGTATGACCCATCTTCTTGCAGTAGGTGCAAAAGGGAGTTCCGTTCCTCTGCTGGCCACCCTTGTGAAAGGGCTTCTTAGGTTGTGACCCATTCTGCTGGCTATGCGGCTGGAAAGGCCTCTTCTTCCAAGGGCCCTTTCCATTAGGA